CATAGTAAGCTGGAAGTGAGAGTCCTCATTATTTCTTTTTAGAAGGTTGAGCTGCAAACTTACATCCTCTTACACCATGCAGTTGTCATCAATATTTTTTTAACTTTTGTGAGTAGGCCTAGCTCAGCTTGATCTTCACAGTCATCATCAGGACCTACTCAGATTGTGATTGCATGGATTTCAGAGAAATCACAAAATTGGGCGATGTCCACAAAATCCGTGGTGGTAGTGGGGGGGGGGCGGGGGGCTCTTTTTCCCCCCCCCCCCCCCCCCAACTTACTAAAAATAAAATGCTGGCTTCCCAGTGGGAGCCAGCAGTCTTCCTGGCCATGCAGCCTGGCACGAAGGGGGCTACATCACAAAGGCAAGCAGGTAAGATGGTTGCTGCCCCTGCCCTTTGTCACTGAGAAGGCTGCCTGATGTGTGGCCCTGCCTCCTCCACTAATCAGTGGTGAGGGTGGGGTTGCATGATAGACAGCCCTCAGCCAGTCAATGAAGAGGTTGTTTGATGGACAACCTTTTCCACCAGTTAGTGGCAGTGGGGGGACAGACACTGGGGTCCCTCAGCAAATCTGAGCCATGGGGGTCTCTGCTGTGATAAGCTCGGGAAAATGGCAGCCAGCCCCAAAATCTGTCTATGAAATTGGCTGGCTGGCTGCTTCCTCAAGTTGGGTAGACTCTTGGCCATGGCACACTAGGGTGTCTTAAGATGTTTTCAAGGGTGATGCCAGGCAGTATTAGAACTGTTAGGTATGCAAACCATATTCACAAGATTAAACCAAGAAATTTCAAATAGCAATCCATAGTGTTAAAAACATTCTGACCTGTTGTAGTCTTTCTGAGTTCTTTGCAGCAGAAGAATATCTCCATTACTTTTCTGTAGTCAGAAAATGAGTGAAAACTAAGAGCTGGCATTTTTCCAGGGATGCCTTGAGTCTAAAAAGATGTAAATGGAGAAGGAAGCTCTAGAAAAAGCTCTATAAATGTTTGATCTAAGAGCAGATACCACGCTTTCTTTTACTGAATTAGATGTTCAGTGCTTGTCTAAATTAGGATAACAGATGTCGTCTCAAGATATTTTAAGTGACATTTCAAATTCTGATATAGAAAGGGAAAGTTGTAGTATTAGCTGGTAGAAACTTGGAAGCTTTTCTGACTAGAGTCTACTAGGTTTCTCTTTGCTGCTAGGGAAAGTTTCTGTAGCAGCTGAGTCTGCAGCTGTCAGCAAACTGGGGAGCATCAATATTACTTCATGTCTGGAAGGTCCTCTCAGCAAACATAAAGGCTAAAAATATTTTGTAGGTGAAGGCTTACATTATGCTGAAATGTATAGCTTAGGTCCTTTTACTTGCCAGACAGCTTTCTAACTGCCAATAGAAAATGCACAAATATATTTTTTCAGGTCCTGTATCATCTATAAATCCTGAGGAAATGCTGAAAATCTAACTTTGAATGTAATGTTTTCCACTGTCTAATAAAGTTTTATTTGAATATTTCAAAATAAGATATAGTGAAAGTCACATGTAGCAAAATGCCTAAATTGTATAGGAACCTGCGGGGTCTTCTCAAAAAAGAGCTTAAGTAAATTTAGGGTTAAAGAAAGACTTGCAACTGCATTTTAATGAGAATTGACTGTATATCTTGGAATTTACCCTCCCATTTTTTTCTGATTTATTATTACTATCTACTCAAGAACTTTAAACAAATACACTCCCCCCCACCCCCCAATTTTAGCTATATTCCTTCCCTATCAGTAAACACTGGAAAAATCGTTACTACTATAGTCATAATAATCCTAAAGTAGTGATAACAGTTCCTGCCTCAAATAGCTTGTGAACTTAGCTCAACATGAGGGCCAACAGATACAGAGGAAATGAGAAAACAATGAGGTGATTTTGAAAGCATTGCTGCTATGATAAACAGTACTCGTCGGTAGTCTAACCATCGTCAAGTTTTTGTAGGCATCAGGGTAAAGGAAAGTTTTAAGTAGAAACTGAAAAACAGCAATAGGAAAATGCCTCTGAAATGAGCAAAAATTGTTGCTTCACACTCAAGAAATTGTCCACGTGCACATTCTGTCTTCTTGATCAGAGACTTTTCCCTTAACACAGTCTATAGACTGCTCTGGTCTCACCTTTGTTCATCCTTTACACTAAGGGATAAACACTGGTGTGTACTTCCTGCTCCTCAGTGTCTGTCAGCCAGTGGTCTAGAGTACAGCACTGTTGCAATTACTTGTGGCCTAGGCCTAATACATTCAAAAGGGCCATCCAAATCCTTTTTAACTTTTCCCCTGAAAATTCATAGTTTTATTCAGTTGCTTCAACCTAGTAAGAAAAGTGTTCAAGTCTTCAGCCCACTGGCAGTGTCTTGGCAACTTTGCACCCTTCCCCACTAATTCAAGTGAGGCCATGAAGTCTTTGTCCTCCTCGTCTCTGTCTTCTTCTTTTGGAGTCAGTCTTTCTTGAGGAGGTGGCAAGACTAACTACTGTCTTTGCCTCAAGCCTCCAAGCACTGGTAGCATCAAACAGCCAAACAAGATTACTTTTCCACATAGGAAAGATTCACATTCTGAGCTTGTTTGCCAGTGAATGGTATGTGGCGAGCTTGTAGGTTTAATGAGTAATGTAGTAATTTTGTAGCCAAGGGATTCAGTCACTGGTTGTAGACCAGGCATTGCTCTTAAAATTTGGACTCTTTTGGCACTTTCTAGAATACTCTCGCTCTTTTATGACCTTCAGAGAACTAGATCTTGCGGTTCAGTTTCCTGGTCCCAGGGTTTAATCCCGACTTCTCAAACCCCACTGTTACTTAAAAGCATCTTTCCACAGAATCCCATCAGAAACATGGATTTTGTAACTTACAGTTTCTCCTCTGGGTGTATACACGAGGCTTTGTATAGAGTTTGTAAATGCACCGTTATTTTTACACATAGGATCCTGCACAGCAGATTACAAATCATTGGAAAACAGCAAACTTCCTAAAATGTAGTGCCTCTTGATCTAGTTTACTTCTGTTTTCTTTTGTTTTTTGAAGGCAAAAGGTCCTTGTCTTGTTTTTAGGAAGGTGAACAGACTCATGGTTTGTCTTTTCTGATCTCAGTTGATCCTGAAACTACAATATCTACTTGCAAACATTAGCCATCTAGAATTGCAGTGCGTGTTTTAAGTGACAAAACTGATTTTTTTGCCAGGAGGCATGGGGATGCTGGAAAGGCTACTAGGAATTGGCTCCCTCTTAACTGCAGGCAGGAGGGGCAGAGTCTGCTGCTCAGCCAAAAGCTAGAAGCGTAATCTTGTAACAGCCACTGCAAAATTGTGACAGGATTACGCCTCTAGCTTTTAGCTATGCAGGAAAGGGAGGGCAAGTGATGCTGATGAGTAGATGCTGTTCCTGCTCCATGGAGCCAGAATTTAGCCATGACTCTAGAAAAATATTTTTTTCTTCATTTTCCTTTCCCAAAGCAAGGTACATATCTTATTTGTGGGTATGTGATATGTAGAGAATGTGGTCTACTAGGCCCTCGTTTATTTAAAAAAAAAACCTGTTAGCACAGTTGCTTTGCCTTCTATCCAATGTTTTCTTTCTTTCCTTGCAAAATCTTTTGGGCTAGGGACAGAAATTATACATAAACCAGTATAAGATATCAGAAACTGGTTCAGATCTGTAACACAAGAGAAGTTCAATGCACATAAACTGCTTTCAAAATGGCTGAAACTGGTTTAAGATAAACCTGGATGGATGTATTATCAGACTTAACTGCCTTAGGTTAAATCAGTTTATTGAACTTCTGTCCCAGATCCCCTTCAGATTGAGGTTAATTCACAGTCTCCCAGCATCCCAGGATGCTGTGCACCTCCCCTGCAAACACCCCCTTGTAGGGTGGGTGGACTAGCTTTGGCCATAGCTGTCTGTTCCAGCGGAGCAAGGAGGCATTCTCTAGCACCCCCTGGCTTCTGGCCTGGGTCACTGCAGGTATGTGGCTGCATTTCTGGATTCAAAAGTTTGTCTGTTCACTTGCTTATTGGTTCAGTCTACACAGCTTGCACTAACCTGTGAAGACTGAATTGATTCAGCCTTGGGCTTTTTGACTGTCTGTACTTAGCTTTAATGCTTACTGTGTCACACCTGTGTCTGTGTTATGTTAGAAGGTAATTCTCAATGCTCCATTCTTTAGCTACCTTCAGATCTGCCTAACCAAACTGATTTTCTTTGTGCCTTAGCTAGCCCATCTCAGTAACCACTCACTAATTCATGAACTTTTCATTATGAGAAGAAAATTAAAATTCTGTGAAGGTGCTTAGAAAAGAAAGGGGCTTCTTGGGGAACTCGGTCATTCAAGGGTCTGTGGAAGGAAGAAAGAGGAGAGGAAGAAGATGGATGAAGGATATAGAGGGACTGAATAGAATTGAGACAACAAAGGTCCAATAAAATCAATAAAGAACAGGTGGAGAGATCTGGTTTATTGTATGGCCTTGAATCAAGGACAGCTGGGTGATGATAACATTTATAAAGGTTTAATGACTGACCTTTGTCACTGGTCAGATGTACATGTTGAGACATACGGGGATTTTCATAGTGACAGCTACCTAATAATCACAATCAGAATACAGAAACTGTATGAAAAGATTGCACAATGCTTATAATTTGTCCATGTCTGTATTGCATACCATGCCGCATACTTTTATTTGTGATTTTATAGGTACATTGGGAAGTTAATATAAAGATGATGACAAAATCTCTAAATAAATGTGTTTATTCATCTTCATGTCCTTTTGCTGTTCCTCCACCTTCTCAAATGTCAGCATCTACCAGATAAATTTGTTAGTTGCCAGAAAATTGCTCATGAAATATTATTCATCCAATCAAATATGGAAATAGCCTTAAATTTAGAACCTATTCATTCATATTCATGTCCACTACTAATAAGAAACATGCATTTATAATTGGAACGTATTGTTTGAAAATAGCCAATGCTAATAAAGACGCTATTTCAACAGTGCTCTTTCAGAAGAGGAAAAATCTTCATTGCGTGCTGGGCTCATCACAAACTTCAACGAGCCAGTGAATCAGGTTAGTAATGAAATGAATGATCAATCATTACTTAGAAAATACTCCTATATAAGGTGCAGTTGTTTGTTTTTTTTTCTTTTTAAAATGATTTTTTAAAAATAAGAGATTTGATCATTTCAAGCTTAGTTCAGATAGTGTTTTTCTTGTGTGATATCTTAGATTCATAGATGTTAGGGTCGGAAGGGACCTCAATAGATCATCGAGTCCGACCCCCTGCATAATCAGGAAAGAGT